TAATATTTAGAGAATTGGATAAAGACTTGTATAGTATTTTTGGTGAATTATAACTTAATTCTTTCATATTCTCTACACGAAGACCTTTAATGAAACAAGGATAAAAAAATAGCTCAGATGTAAATAATTCAGCTGCAAGATGCTCAACCTTGAATAATATTCAACCGCATCATATCTATTTTATTACCATTAATTAAATTGTTCATACAATTAGACTATATATTCTCTAAATGATAAAAATTGACCTATAAGGTTATAAGTTATAACAGCCTATGAAGATTATGCAGCACCGCCCAATATTATTGGTCATGTCCACTAATTTCATAATAGCAATTCCAACTATTTTGTAATCAAGCAAATGATAACGATCATAACACCCAAAGAAATCCTGTAAAATTTTGATTCAATTTAAAAATTTATTGAATTATACCTCCAAACAAATATTGGAATATATTTTTAAACTTGATGAGTCACCTTATAACTTCAAACTCATATCATACCCAATTTCTTTTAAATAACATAATTTATTAATCTTATAATTGACTCGTTTTTTATGTTCTTATTCTAGTTTACATGATGATGTAAGCATTGGCACTAATACAAAATCTAATGTAAGAGAACTTGTGATCTAGAATTTCTTTGATGCAAACTAGGCTATGATGAACAAGAACATGCACAAATAACAAAATTAGTAGGCCCTTAACTCTTAATTAGATAAAATTTTATCTTTTACAAAAATTGAAGAGCACTTACAACTTGCTCCAAAATTGTACAAACGATGATTTAATGATCATCCAAAATTGTAATTTTGCACGATATCTTAGATTGAAATAAAACACAAAGATTAGGATTCACATTGTAAGAAGACAAGCCCGATTACATCAAACTTTACTGAATCTAAATTACACGCAGAATCCATAGTAAAATATGTACTATGTAGATAAAAAGGAATAAGGATAGAAGACAACAAAGAAAATTGAGATTTTACAATAGAATAAGGGGAAAGCTTCCCTCAAAAATTATCAACACTTGCATATCATTCCAATAATTTGCATCAAATTGCCCACATAACTTTAGAAAGAATATGACATTTTATTAAATATTGAATGTTTTTTTACATGTCTAGATAACCGTCGGATCCAAGAAAAACAAATTTCAAACTTAGCCCTGAACAAAATTGCAAGAATTGGCTCCAACTACAGTTCTAAATTAGCAAGAAACAACAGGAGGCTGCTAAAAAATGAAATGAACATCTTAAGCAAAATTAGTGACAATAGAGGACTCCATATGTAAAGATATAGAAAACTATAGATCTCAACTACAACGAAGAATCAATCCCAGCTATAGTACAAAATAGGAATAGTAATAAACAAAGTAAAACTGGGAATAGAAATAAACTAAGCAACAATCCTCCAAATTAGCGGATAGCCAAAATAGAGGAATTAAACAAGTGCCAACATAAGGAATCACAAACAACTGAATTGTGAAATTTGGTATGAGCTGAATCAAACCCGCTTGTAGTCTACACAATAGCTAATCAAAATCAACAAGTAACATTTTCCCTATTGCACATAGGAGTCTACTCATGACATGGAAATTATTTTTATCCATTTCTAAATGTCATTTTACAGCCCTAACAGATCGAGTACAAGTTCTCATCGAAGATAAATCATTGACAATCCCCATCGAAGTTACCTTCAATTTATAAGGTACTAGCAGTTTGTATATTCAACTTGAGCTTGTTTACTAACATGTTGCATAGCTCGAAGAATAAGAGCTCATGTTCTGATGTGAAACATGTAAGTAAACAAGAATTGCTTTTGGAACTTAATAAAAATTTGAACTTTAAACTTGCTATTATAAACTTATGTTTCACCAAGTTAGATTCTTAGAAATTTTCATTAGAAGTTTATGTAATAGCAAGCGATTACAAATGAGATTAACAAGATACTTGCGAGTAACAACAAAATAAGAAAGTAAAACTAATGGCAATGAAACAAAAATTCACAACATAACAACGAGAAGTGTTCACCCTGAGTTCCCTCACTCTTGCTCTTGAAGTGGGGTTTAGCGGAAAAAGGGTAGAAGTAACCCTAAGGATGCCACCACAAGACAAGTGATGCGTAAGGTATTGTTCGCCGGAGGAGCCGGAAAAGAGGAAGTTGATGGTCGGCCAATGATTTGCCAAGGTTTCGTTGGTCGTTGCTCGTCAACCATCTCGGCGAGATGATAGAGTATGCAATTTACGTAGCTTTCCACTGAACCCTCATATTCTCAATTTGGATCAAAGAAAGGGGATTGCAAGATGTTGATTTCTCCTTGATCGTTGTATACGAATCCGTGGTCGACCTCAGGGTCGGCCATGCACTAACGGTAGATGGGAGGAGGAAGTTTGTCTTCTCTTCATTGCTCCAAAACTCATGAAATAATTAGGGTTTCCAAGAGAAACAAGGGGAGAGGAAGGGCCGTCCAAGGAGAGGGAGGGGGGGGGGGTGTGGATTATGTTAGGTTTAGGTTTGGGTTGGGGAAATCCCAATAAATCTGAAATTAATTTAAGGTTTAAGTGATTTTGGAGGGAATTGAATTTGAAATTGAGTTCAAATTCAACTAGGGTTTAGGGATTAAAGAAGGAAACAAAGGGAGGTGGAATATAGGGAGGCCGGCGGCATATAGAGAGAGGGACTGAGGGAGGCGGGTTTAGGGAAGAGAATTAAGAGCTTCCTAAATGAGACCTCAAATTTAGAAAAATGATAATTAAATCAAATCCAATTTAAAATCAAATTGGATTTAGATTTAAAACTTCCCTAATTTAGGAAATTATTTGAAATTGAGATATCCCCAAATTACTCAGGCTAGTTTAGGTAAGTAATAATTATGATTGAGCCATCATTAAAGCAAAAGGGAATGTGGCCGGTGGTGGAGCTTGGAAAAAGGAGTTTGGCCAGCGGTTGTGAGGGCTTTGCCGGCGGTTGGAGTGGGGAAGGGCTTGGGGTCAAGGGATTGGATGATGGTGGGAAGGTGGCCGGCGGTTGGGGCAATGGGGGATGCGGCCGCCGGCTTGGGGAGGCAAATGGGGGTCGGCCGATGGGGGAGAAAAGAAAGGGGAAGAAAAAAGATAAGCAACGAGCCACAGAATTTTTCAATGATTGGCGCGTGTTGCGCTCACCCTCACCTAAGGTTCTCTCTTCTCTCTAGTGCACACACAAGAAGAAGACAAATATCAATTTCTATTGAATCATTCATTAACCTCTTACAAAACACAAGACCACTATATATAGGTCTCAGTAACAGAGAAAAGAAGAAAGACTCAAGACTCACTACCCAAAGGGATAAACTAGGAAAACTGAAATGCAAAATAAATAAAACATAAAATACATCAAAAGAAAATACTCTAAATCGTAGCCGTCGATTTATGATTCCGTAGATGATACACATGTCGGAATCTCTGGCTGATGCCCTCATCAAGTTCATTCAAATTCATTCTACTACTGAACAATACATGTGTGATTTTTTCCTCTAAGATGAACCAATGACTATCCCATCGATTTAGAAGATAGTAGCACTCTTTTAAATTCAACTTGAGCTTGGTTGCCATAATGCTACATAACTCACAACTCATAAAAAACCCATTAATAAAATGGAGATCCTCCGAAAGTAACATCATATTTCAGTCAAATCGTATGTTATAGCTGCCTCTAACTATTCCATTCCGGTGAGGAATCTAATTGAAGTTTCACTGCCCCTCACCTTGAGAAGAGGGCTGATATAAAGGGCAGAAAAACAACAAAGTAGCCTAAGGAGAAGATTCCCAAAAATTATGAAAGATGAGAAGAAATTATCACAGTTACTAAAGCACCTTTTGAAAAGCCTAGACATATTTAATTGTCTTAACCTTTTCTTTAATTTATAAACTAGCTTCAGAATAAATATATAAATTTTGCCTTTTAAGGATGGACAACCATATCCTGTAAATTTGTGAATACAAGCGAAGTTGAATCTTTATTCAAACGCTTAAAGAATTGGAGGCATGACAGGAGTCAACTCCCTAAAAGTGATTTGTCATCCAAAGGAATAAGAATTTCCATTTTCAATCAAAAACCAAGCATGCTGACCTTTAAATCCCATGCTTAAACATTAATTCCCAAAAATTTGCATTTCAATACTCTTTTTTTTTTAATTCTCCTATTTTGGATCCTCATTTGAGTCTTATTCATTCGAGGCAAAGCATATGACGATCCATCTTCAAACACTGTAGGATACTCTAGCTCACATAATAATACTAATTTCAACTTTTTGTCTCCCCCAGCAGAAGGTGCAATGGGCACAGAAGTGGTAGCCAAATCTTCTTCTGGGCACAAGAGCTTCGCACTAACCTCAAAGCAATCTCTATTAATAGACCGTCTTTTTTGTTATAAGTATTTAAATCTATTATCTGACATATATCAACTGAAAAAGTTATGCTAATAAAATCCATTCCAAATCTAATGCTATTTTCAAAATCTATTTTCCCAACAGTCAATTTTTTTGTTAAACGAGACGATCAATTGACCAACATTTCTTGCTTTTTCTAAAAAAATAACTAGAGAATTCCCCATTACGACTTTGATTTGATTTTTTTGAGGAACCGGAATTTATTCAAAAATTTGAACTTATTCAAAATATTTTAGTAATGTTAGTATTAGGAATTCTAAAAACTGACTTAATGAAATTTGGGTCAATAAGAACTCCTCAAACTCAATATTGGCAATACTTGTCCAAGAAAGAAATGAAAAGATATCCAAAGAAAAAGGGCAATCTGAGCTATGAATGATATAGGTAAATTACTGATATATAAATTTAATTGACACAATCCAAGATAGAAATGAGGTTGCAATCTCATCGTCTCATTTTTGGAATCAAGTTGAGTAAAGCTAAATTAGCCTAAATCAACTCAATCAATCAGATCAAATTTAAATCAAGTTCAAACTAACTCAATTTGCCCTTCAAAATCACTTGCTTACCCAATTTAGCTTTTCCAAATCAGGAAAGTTTACATGAAACGGTGATCAAAATAGTAGGAACATGCGGCCCCTTTTCCCACGTTCATCTGCATGGAACAACACCTGAAATCATCAAGGGTGATAGGAATAAATCTCAGTCATTTATTGAAAACGATTTAGGGGCCAGATAGTAATTTCCTCCAACCAGGCTTGTGAAAAAGAGAGAACGAAAGAGGTGTGGGCGGGATTCCTTCTTGCCAAATAGCAAGAGTTGGTGGCGTGTGCCTAGAGAAACTAAGAGAAAGTTGAGCATGAGCAGGATTCATGAGCACCTAAGAGTTTATATCCACATATACTTGAACCTATTGCATATAAGTATCACTTATCATCTAATAATATTGATTGATAATTGTTAATATCACACCTACTAAATTGCATAAGATACACTCAATCTTTTATTCTACAACATTTAAGTCTCTACCTTATAAATATTTTCTCAATTCTTTCAAGTTTGCACTTATTTCAATAGATTTATCATAAATTAGAACTATATCATCTCAACAAAACATACTGATGGGGACATCAGATTTCGACACGTGTACCATCGCCGACGGCGCAGATCGATGGCTACGATCCAGAGCCTCTACTTCTGAGTTATTTACAGCTTATGTCATGTGTACTTCTTTAGTTTTCCTAGTTTGCCCCTGAGGGCATTGTTCTACTTATGTAGCCCAGGGGGCGTTTATGTCTTTTCATTTTCTTTTATTTTGAGCCTCCTTATATGAGGCATGATGCATTGTAAGTTTTTAGTTTTTGGAAATGAAAAAATATTCTCCTTCGTTCTCTTTGTGAGTGCACTTCTCCTAGATCTCTTAGTGAGTTCGACGGAAAAATTAGATCTCTTTGTGAGTTCTAACTTTCGTCCAAGTTTATTGTGAGGAAATCCGGGTTGAAGACAATTGAGGTTAGTGAATTCATCGCCACTTGATTCCCTGGAAATCTCCCTATTTTTCCTCCCCTTGGCCTTACTGCCGTCTACCCCTCCCCACCTCCCCACCGGCGGCAGCAGACCCTCCACCGCCGGCCTCCTTTGGTCGGCCCAGTTACCCACGACCTTCCCAGCCACCAAGCCGGCAGCATCTCCTCCATCATTCCTCAACCCCAGCACAGCCAAGCCGTGAACCCCTTTTCCCCTCCTCAGCTCACCAATTTTCCTTTGCAGCCTTCACAGCCGTTACTTGCTGTGTTGCCAAACCGTGGAAATCAAGCATTTAAGGCTTGATTGATTGCTCTCTCAATCAGCCTTAAAACAAATTATCTCCAGCCTTTGATTATAATTTGAAATTCAAAGTTGCTTATTACATACACCCTTGAAAAGGAAACTTTCCTTTTTTTATTGAAATCTGAATTACTACAGATTTTAATTAAAATCTGATTACTTAATCATGTGGGCCCCATTTGATTAATTACTTGAACCTCCTCTCCCCTCCATGTGGCCGGCCCCTTTATTGGGCTCTCTCTCTCTCCTAATCACCTCATTAATCCCACAAAATTAGCCCCAATCCCCTCCCTTGACCGCCCCCTTAATCCTCCTTGGTTTAATTTGGATTTCAAATTAAATCCACCCCTTTTAACCCTCCAAAATTGGATTTCCTGCAGAAATTCCTGCACCAAAATTTTGGTCTCTTCCTTGGCCGAATTCTCCCAAGCCCGCCAAAGCTCGCGTGCTTCTCCCCGGAATCCCCGAGCCACTTCTCCCTTGCTCTTGGGAGCGTATTGCAGCGACCACTTACTCGTATCCTCAAGGATGCATGGATGAACCCGAGTGGAACTTCGGGTTTGAGTACGACAACCACGGACGGGTCAATATCCTCCGGTCACCGTTCTTCGACGTTGGCTTCGACTTTGACGACACCGTCGAAGAATACTTGGATCGAATCCTACCAACGTTAGCGGAGTCCATCGCAATCACTTCTCCGTCTACACGTGGATCATTGAAGGCCGTCCATCCGCTCCTCCGAATCCGGCTCCCTTCCCGGCGATAAGTCCTCTCAAGATCACTTGCCTCTTAGTGGCGTCGCTAAGTCTACTTACAGTTCTCTTCCGCTAGCCTCCACTTAAAATATGAGTGACGGATCTTAAGGTGAAGGATCTAAATCTTAAATTTGGGGCTTTGTTAGTCTTAGCCATTTGTATTACTTGAATTTTGTTGTTATTTTGAAAGTCTTCTAATCTCTAAATGTGCTTTCTTGTCATTACTTAACTTATCACCATCTAATTCATGAATTCAACTTGATTAAGCAAAGAGTTTTGGTAGCAAGTCTTGAATCATTACTTCTATTAATTTCCTAAGTGCAATTCGCATTTCATTGCATGATAGTTTCACATCACATACACTAAAGTATTTCACTATGAATAACATTCATAAATATCTCTACTAAAAAAATATGGATTAAATTTTAATGCTTTGATGTAAAACAACTATAATTGAAAACTCTTTATGTCACTCCACAATGATTTCTAATACTAGTCAATGCTCCATCACACATAACTTCAATAACAACAGCATTCCAGTAACACATACTTCTGTTTGATGCACAGTAAATCAATTATAATGTTTTTCGATCATATATGCCTTCTCCATATCAATAAAAATCATAAGCGGAATCTTTCTTTGCTCTCTATACTTCCTTATTAATTGTCATAACATAAAAATCGCTTTCATAGTCCATCTGACTGATATAGAACCAGATAAAATTATCTGAAACTAACATAACTTTTCTAAACTTATATCACATTAGTCTCTCGCAAGTTTACTCCTCTAAAGTTAATACAATACTGATCATTTCCATTGTTTGAAAATATTATTAACAAAATAATTTTTCTATGATCATTTAACATCCTCTTAGTCTTCTAAATTATATTAAAAAATTCATTTACCAAATTACTACAATATTACCCATAAGGCCATAACACTACAAAACTCAATATTCATCTCATTTATACCTAAAGCCTTATCTTCTTCTTTAACCTACACTTTACTTTTATGGCTCAATATACAATATATTTTCTTATATTGTTCATTACATTCTTCCAAAATATTTTTTACCTTGAAATTCCAATTTAATAATTTCTCAAAGTGTAAATTTTATTTAATGTCATCATCTTTAACCATGTTCTTATGATTTGTTAACCACACCCATTCACACAATTCCAATATCATGGTTTAAAATTGCGCAATATGATGCTTGACTTGAGGCCCGCCTTTGCGCAATTCTAGTAAAAAACGCCTCGATGCTTACGCCTCGAACACACACACACACACACACACACACATATATATATATATATATATATATATAATCAAGAGTATGTGATCTTTCTAAAAGATTTCTATTCATGTGACCTTTGATTTACCACTTTTTTCCTAATCCTTCAGCAAACAATTATTTCTATCAACTATATCTCTAACATAATCATCACTAAATCTAAATTTCTAGCTCTGCTACACATCATATTAGCATTCTAATTCATGAAAATTAGCTCAACTATTAGTTAACTTTTTACTATCCAACACTTTGAACAAAACAACATATTAGGCATAACTGCACCTTTAAACCATACAGACAAAATATCACAAATAATTATGATTAAGCATTAGATAAAATGCACTGTACATAAATAGTAATATTGAGTCTAATTAATACAAGCTAAATCCTGAAGAAAATAATACATGGAAATCAATCAATTCCAAGTGCAAGAGTGCTGCATCAATATCTTAGAGATTATCAACTACTACTAGCAATGTAAATTGAATGTTATTTCCAAAAAAAGTATATTACAAAATTAATCTTGTGGATGCCAACTAGCAACTCATTAAAGGGATTAACATCACAGTGACTCACACAAAACTACCAAACAAAAGGAGATATAGCACAAATGCACAACATCTAAGCACAAAAACCTTGTCCTACAGACGGGAAAAGTTTGCAAATTATTTGCATGAATATGAAACATTTCATATTTGGACAATCCAAACCTCCAAAGCACAAACATGCATATTGATGAGTGCAAAACCAAAGCCTAATCGGTCTCAAAATAGAATGTAATAGGAACCTATAGCAATCAAAAGAAATAAATTATATGAGTGAGGACCATAACTAAAAATCCAAACTTATCATTAGACCATTAAAAAAAAAACTTTTTAAGTATTTTTCATCATTATTCTCAGCCTTATGTGTTTCTCTCCAATCCAGTATCAAATCACTGAAATGAAATTCTTTTACTGCATCAAGCATCATGCATCAAATGTTTCCACAGTAAGTATAGGCAAATGATCAGCGGTTTTTCAACCTTTACCAAAGCACTGGACGGCAAATCAAATACCAAAAGCTGAGTCCCTCATCTGAACCTCATCAAAACGCCAGCTCAAGTCCCACCTGTAGGAGGTGGTGAAATTTCGGAGGTCTAAGACTCAAGACGCTAACGGTAAGATATTAAACCCAAGTGAATGCATAAGCCATATGGATGAAGGCCCCAATTAATAAGTAATTATCCCAAGCAGAAAATCTAAATCTTAAGCCTAAATGACTTAAAAAAAATAATTCCAATGAGCAATTCCTAAATGACTTAAAAATTAATTCCAATGAGCAATACCGCACAAACTCGCAACAAAGTACGTGTCCTGGTAAAATCAGAGAATAAAGACAAACCTTTCTGTGCATCGGAGGCATCATGAAATTCCTCCTCCTCTGGCACGGGGTGAAGCTCCGCCTCCTTGTTAATTGCAGTAGAAGATGCAGCATTGGAAGCGATCCCATCCTCAGTGAGACCTCCTGCAGCTTCGTCAGGGTACCGCACCACCACCACAGGACAAACACAGTGATGAACACAGTAATCGCTGACACTACCTAGCCTCCCTTTGCCGCTTCTCTTAGACGCCCCAAATCCCCTGCTACCCATAATCACAGCACTGAGTCCAAGCCTCTCTACCTCGAGGCAGAGCCTCTCCTTCATGTCATGATCCTTTACAATGTGGATCTTGAAGGGAATATGAGACTCTACAAGCGGCTGGGCAAGGTCATGTGCCTTGGTGGCAGTGAAGGCGTCGAAATCTTCCTCAAGTTTCTGCTGCGACTGCTCGGCGTCAACCTCTTCAGCCGCAGCAGCAGCCTCCGAAACGGAGAGGTCTATCGATCCCCAGTCAGCGCCATAGAGAACCGAAGTGGGGCGAACATGAAGCAGGATGACGGCATCACCAGGTCGAAGGTAGTTCTGAACAGCCCACTTCACGGCGTAGGCGCTTTCGTCGCTCAGATCTACGGCTATCGCAATCCGACGGTGAGAGCTGGCCGTGGTGTTCCCCGCTGCCAAAGAGGAGAAAAAGAGGCGCGGGGAAGATGGTTGAATCGTATGTGCTGCAGCGGCGGCCGCCACAACCGGCGAAGTCGGTGCGGAGTGGTCGGCCTCGGACGAACTCTGATGGTGTTGCATGCCGCTGGAATCTAAGGTCTTTCTTTTTTACTTGCGTTTCGAGGGTTTCTCTGCTTCACGAAAATACCGAATTTTGTCCTCTAAAACTTAAAAGCGAAGGTTTTGAAGAATAATTTGCACTCCGGCTTCAAAGCATTAAATAATATTATTTATGAGATTTTTAGATTTAATCTTAATCTATATTATCTATACTATATTATTTTATATAAATGTGATTTAGGAATCCGCCCATAACAAATCTGATTCGTTCATCTATAAATTTTAAAATAATCCATAATGTTCATATATAACTCTTCAAATTATATAATTTATTATTTCCTATAAAATATTTATTTATTCATTTATTTGATATATATATATATATATATATATATTATAATATTTAGACTAATTAAATAAACTCATAAACATATCACATACATAAATTTTTAATTTAAAATCTCTTGGTTAGTCAAAACTCCCAACTAAAAAATCAAGATGAGATGTATTATTTATAAAAAATTAAAAATTCCTCAAATATACTTTCAGAAATAAGAGCAATTTTCTATTTGGAAAGTCATCAAAATCAGTTCAAATATAATAAACTCAAAATTTTTTTTTTATGGGAAAAATATGGGCTTAGCCCTTTCTATTAAAGCTGAAATAGTTACATGTAATAGAAGCAACTGTAAAGATAAAACTTTACCAAAACAATGAACAAAAGACAAAGGAAAATAAAAAATGGGGAAGAGACAGACAAAACTCCCCAAGAATAAGCCAAAAGCAAAATAAAAGAACAGGAAGAGAAGATAAAACAACATCACCAGAAACTATGGATCCCGTAAGGACCCACGGGCTCAGGATTTGCCGCTCTCTCTACCTGGTTGCAAATTGTGAGGCCCGAATAAAAATCTGCCCTCCAAAGGAGAAAATGGCAAATCTGTCATCCTTGCCCAACATACCAGCTATCACAAACTGCCAAAAGAATACCATCCCAATCCTCCTTGCTGTCAGCCGGTAAATACATAAAGAAGAAATAAAACCAGAATTCACTGCTTAATTTCTCGAGCCAGGATTATAAAAAAAAAAAAGAAAATACAGTGTATGTCTTATAGCTTTACATGGTTGACTATAAATGTATATATGCCTAAAAATAGATTTTGATAGAAATTGTATACAAAAAGAAATAACCTCTTATACTTGCAGCTATGTACTGAAGAAAGTCCTTAGAAACATTTTCAAACCGATTTAGACTTGATTCAAATCCGGTTGCAATTGGCCGTAATTGTTGGGTTTCATTGAAACCCTCGTTGCTAATCTCATCAATGATTGTCCAATGAGCTCTATCATGAACTCTTCTCCTTTACATGGCATCGTTCATATTAATGCTCGTCACAACAAGCTTACACACAAACGTTTTTTTTTTCCTTCATAAGTTATTGATCACATCAATGCCTACACCCAACAAACTCTCACACAAACTCGTCTTCTCCTTCACACACAACGAGCACCAATGCCAATTTCTATCACAAACCCTTAGCCCTAATTAGAAACTTGATTAGACTAAGAGTCAGAATAAGTTCAAGCCAATTTAAGGTGTCTTCGATTTTAATAAATAACACTGGTTCATATCAATGCTCGTCTCAACAAGCTTACACACAAACTCTTTTTTTTCCTTCCTAAGTTATTGATCACATCAATGCCTACACCCAACAAACTCTCACACAAACTCGTCTTCTCCTTCACACACAACGAGCACCAATGCCAATTTCTATCACAAACCCTTAGCCCTAATTAGAAACTTGATTAGACTAAGAGTCAGAATAAGTTCAAGCCAATTTAAGGTGTCTTCGATTTTAATAAATAATACTTGATTGCAAAAGGTCATCTCTTATTGAAAATAATTTCAACAAAAATGGACATTCATGTATATCTCTTCAAATAAATATACAGTAAGAATATTTGGCTAAGCATTTGTATTATGAGACATATAAAATCAAAATTCTCATTGTCAAAAATCAGCGTTGTTGCAGGCTAGAATATACGTGGCGATAGAATTAGAAAATTTTTGTCTCAGCATTATACTAATATATCCAGCACACAAACAGAATGAAAATAAACACCAGTATTTTTTACATAGAAAACCCTGTAAATGGAAAAACCACAGGGTCACACCTAAAAAGGTAGGGGTAGACCTAAAAAGACTTGGTTAGAAAGGTAGGGGTAGACCTAAAAAGACTTGGTTAGAAAATATTAGGAATGACCTTTCTTTATTAGATTTAAACGAGAATTTAACTTTTAATAGAACACAATGGAGAAAAAGGATTCATGTAGCCGACTCCACGTAGTGGGATAAATGCTTGATGTTGTTGTTGTTGTGAAGAGATCATTCGGCCAAGATATATAGAGAAGGAAATATGTAACTGAGAGGAAAAGGCTGATAGTTTGCATAAGAGGAAATATTGAGCTTAATGGAGTCATTCTTGTGCCCCAAAAATGGATGTAGCCATTCAATCAAGCCACTTAAATTCATATATTTATCTTTGATCTTTCCAGATTATGTTGCCTATCAACCAGCAAACCCTTCATTAGCGGAGTAAATCGGTCTGAAGGCTTCACTTTCTTATATCTTTGTTCCCGTACGAGAATTCGAAAGGAGTTGCGACATTATCCAGCCAATTTTGTTTTGGTGCCAAATCTTCTCATTCGCGTCTTTTTTATGCTATCATGTAGATGCTTTATACTAGCCGAACAAGTTCAACGGAGCACTGCGATGGCCTCGACAGAGATCCACCATCAACAACGGCCTCTACTGATGTAACCTGCAAGAAAAGAGAACCAGCAATGGCAACCAAAGGAACCAAAGGAGAAGAAATATGCTGAAAACCAAATTCTATGTATTATGCCTTCTCTTTTCTTCTTTTCAGTTATATGTATGTCTTCTACTAAAATATTAAAGTTGCTATAGTAACATAACCGAATTATATGGCCAACAGAAAAGATACTATTATGATTATACGGTAAGTTATGTGGGGAATTATAAAATGCTCCGCATCAGGTGTCCCGGTGGTGGAAGAATTTGACTTCGGCGAAGAAATGATGTATCTGCTGCATCAAAAGGATGGTATGGGGAGATATCTGAAACATTAAATGTAGGGGAAGTATAACAATCGGGTGGAAGAGTCATCTTGTACGCATTGTCATTGATTTTGGACACAATGGGTACTGGTCCAAGCTTGCGTGGACTATGCTTGGAATAGGTGCCGGGAGGTAAACGCTCATGACGCTAGGGGTGTCAATATTGGACCCGACCCGAAAATTTTGGGTTTGGGTTAACCCGAACCCGTAGCGGGTCAGGTTCGGGTCCGGAAAACTGACCCGTTTGTAAAATCGGGTCGGGTTCAGGTTGACCCGAAAACCCGAGAATGACCTAGAATTACCCGAAAAAAAGCCCTAGCCTGCCCCGATCTACCTGCCTGCCAGCGAAGCTTGCCCGCGTGCATCGAGCTGGTCGCGCCATCGCGTTCGAGTCGCATCGCCTCACCTGTTGCGCCATCACGCCACCGCGTCGCATAGCATAGCCTGCCCGTCTACCCCGCTGCCGAACGCCGCTGCCTGCTGGCGGCTACCGAACAGCGCTACCTACTATCGGTGTCGAACACCGGGTGTTGCTGCCGAAACAGGTCGGGTTCGAATCCGGAAAACTGTCTTGTATACAAAAACGGGTTGACCTAAATAGTGTCGAGTCAGTTCCGGATTCGACCCGAATCCGACCCGTAACCCGAAATTGACACCTCTACATGACGTTGTCTCAACATCACCAAATCACCTGTATTGAAAAGTTTGCCGACGGTGTGCATCCATAGCAGCCTTATATTTGTTGTTGGAGTTAATGATTTACTTGCGCACTCCAAACAGTATATTGGAGTATTGATATGTGAAATGTTGGACATCAGTTGATCTGCATTTCAGTAAGATAGCAACATCCAAGGGGTGATTGGACATTTTGGCATACACAATTCTAAAAAGGGGATCGGCCTGTTGACCTATTCGGCATGGAATTATAAGCAAATTCAGCTTGACTTAAGGACTCTTCCCACTATTTTGGTTGTTCTTGAACAAAACAACAAAGCATATTGCCTAAACTTCTTTTCACCTCTTCCGTTTGCCCATCTGATTGATGATGGTATGCCGAACTTAATCTCAACTATGTACCGAGACTCTTCCATAGGCCTACTAGAAGTGACTGATAAATTTGACATTGCGATCTGAAGTAAGGTTGCGGAGCACTCTGTGTAAACGAACAATTTCCTGAAAGAAAAGACGAGCTACAAAGTCGGCATTAGTGGACTTCTTACAAGCTATAAAGTGTACCATTTTGAAAAACCTAACAACAAAGACCATAATTGAATCTTGTCCCTTCCTAGTTCGCGACAATCTAAGTACAAAATCCAAATTAAGATCCTCCCAAATTGTATTAGGTACAGGTAGGTGAAGGTATAGTCCAGTGTTTTGAGCACCACCCTTGTAAGTTTGGCAAATAGGACAATGAGCTATGAAACGGAAGGCATCCTATCGGAGGTGAGTCCAGAAAAATCATAATTGCAGTTGAGACAATGACTTATCACGTCCAACATGAGATGACAAACTGCCACCTTGAGCATCCCTGATGAGGTGTTGACGCCAGGATGAGTCCAGAATGCACAATTGATTATTATGAAAAAGGAAGCCGTGACGAATGGAGTAGTTAAGGACAAGTTCGGTAGTCAAGCATTTAGTCCAACCGTGGCATAGAGCTCCTTAAGGCATTCTAACCCCGTGATCTCTATTTGTAATTGAGTGAGGAGAAGGGACTTTTAGCTGAGCGCATCTGCAACATGTTTATGTTTAAGTACAAAGTTGAACTTCTGTAAGAATAAAATCTAGCAGACATGCATTTTACTTATATTTTTTTGCTATTAATATACTGCAATGCTTGGTTATCAGTGTAAAGAACAAAATCTTGATGCAACTTGTAATGTTCCCATTGCTTTAATGCACGAATTATTGCATACAATTCTTGCTCATAGATAGTCCAGTGTTGTCTAGCCAAGCTAAGTTTTTCACTAAAGAAGGCAACTGGCCTACCCTCTTATGATAATACAGCACCAATGCTAATTGAAGAAGCATCTGTCTCAACGTTGTAGAGTTTGTCAAAGCTAAGTAGAGTTAGAACCGGAGCTGAGCTAAGTGCCTGCTTTATTGCTCCATAACTTTTTGATTTCCCTGCATCTCATCAAAAAATTTTGTATTTCAAGCAATTAGTTAAAGGTGCCATAAGAATGTTGAATCATTTAATAAATTTGTGGTATAAATTTGCCAATCCATGAAAACTACAAATATCAAAAAAAGAATGCGGGCTCGACCAGTCCAAAATGGCATTCACCTTCCTTTGATCTGCTTGCACACCTTCATGTGAGATAATAAAACCCCAAAAGTAGACTTGTGTAGTGGCGAACTCGCATTTTTGTGTATTGAGATACAATTTAAGTTGTCTTAAAGTTTCAAAGATAACAGTTAAAAGCATGACAAGTGTAATCTTGATTGAAATCAAGATGGGAAGTAAAGAAGAGAGAGAACGGGAAAATGGAATTTGATTTCATTAAATGTTTGTACAGTATACAATGGTTTATATAGAAGAAAGTAAAAACAAGATACAAATAGGATAGTGCCACGTGTAGACTAAATGGCATATAAGGTAAATTGCTTGTCTAACAGCCCCTCTCAAGCTGGAGCATCCGGAGGAGTGACGAGCTTGGCGGAGAGAAATTTGAATCGTGGTGCCGGTAGCGGTTTGGTGAAGAGATCGGCTAGTTGATCTTTGGTGGCTATGTGATGAACGTGAATGCTTTGGTCCTTGATGCAGCTGCAAATGTAATGACAGTCCACTTCGATGTGTTTGGTTCGTGCGTGTAGAACCGGATTGTTTGCTAAGGCGATGGCGGAGGTGTTGTCGCAAAAAAGAGTGGTGGCTTCAGATTGGGGTAGACGCAGTTCTTGAAGCAGTCGGCGTATCCAAGTGATTTCGGCTGCAGCTGCGGCGACGGCTCGGTATTCCGCTTCGGTGGAGGACCGGGCGACAACGGTTTGCTTCTTTACACTCCAGGAGATGAGAGAGGATCCGAGAAAGTTGCAAAATCCGGTGGTTGATTTTCTATCAGTTTCGTCGCCTGCCCAGTCGGAGTCAACGTAAGAGCAGAGAGTGGGCTTGTCGCGGAAGAGAGGGAGACCGGAATGGATAGTTCCCTGTATGTATCTAAGTAGCCGTTTAAGAGCTTCAAAGTGAGCAATGGTTGGATTCTGCATGTGTTGGCATGCTCTGTTGACGGCGAATGCAATGTCGGGCCTCGTAAGGGTCAAATATTGCAAGGATCCGGCGAGTTGCCGATAGAGAGTCGGATTGGAAAATGCGTTAGTAGTTGCGGTGTAACAGGGAGTTTGGGTGGAGATGGTGTAGATACAGATTTGCAGTTTGTCATACCTGCTCTGGAGAGAATGGTGCGAGCGAACGAGCGAACCTACTTTGATTGAGGTGGAGACCGTAGGATGTGGGTACAACTTGTATGCCCAGGAATTGTGAAATGGCTCCGAGATCTTTCATTGTAAATTTGGAGCTGAGATTGTCTATGGTTTTCTTGATAGTCTTTGGACAATTCCCTGTAATAATGATGTCGTCAACATATACCAAGAAATACATGGTTATATTGCTGGTATGGTAAATGAAGAGGGAGGTGTCTGAAGTACTTAGCTTAAAATCGAGAGTTTGGAGATGGCCGGAGAGTGTAGCGAACCATTCGCGAGGTGACTGTTTGAGGCCGTAGAGGGCCTTTTTCAGTTTGCAGACATAGTTTGGATGGAGCTCGTCGGTGAAGCCAGGTGGTTGCTTCATGTAGACGGTGTGCGAGAGATGCCCGTGGAGAAATGCATTGGATACGTCGATCTGATGGATCGGCCAGCCGTGATGAAGCGAGATAACGAGGAGAATTCGTACAGTGGGTATTTTAGCAACGGGGCTGAAGGTTTGTCCGGATCGCCGTTTTGAATGCTTGATACTTCGGCGGGAGACCATTAAGGGTGTAGAAGATGACTTCTTCGGGGTCAAGAGGGGAGCCGGTTGCGGCGACGGCATCGACAAGGGATTTGATCGCAAGAAGATATTGCGACATGTTCTGATTGTTCATGGAGATGTGGTGAAGTTCATTGCGGAGCTGAATTGTTCTTGAGCGGGTGGAGGATTGCAGGCGGCGAGCGATAGTTTCCCAAATGTCAGAGCAATGTTCAAGGGAAAAAACATATGGTAAGATGCTCGAGGAAATTATGGAGTAGAGAGCCGCGGCGAGGTTTTGATCGAGA